TGTAACCCCCGCATTTTCGGAGGACAAAGTAGGGGAATCACTTGAGGTCAGGAGTTTGAAACCAGCTTGGACAACCTGTCTCTATTTATAAAAATCATTTTTGCATATAGAATTGTCAGATAATAAATGGGTGCTGTTTTAAGCTACTAAGTTCGTGGCAATCTGTTACACAGCAGTAGAAAACTAATATATGAGCTGCTTGCAAGTAGAGATCTAGGAACCCCATATACTTAAAAGGTTCTTAGAGAAGTAAGAGGGATGGTTCTTAAATTTTAAAATTAGGGCTGGGCACAGTGGCTCACATCTGTAATCCTAGCACTTTGGAAGGCTGAGGCAGACAGATCACTTGAGCCCAGGAGTTCAAGACCAGCCTGGCCAACATGGCTAAACCCCATCTCTGCAAAAAATACAAAAATTAGCCAGGAGTGGTGGTGTGTACACCTGTAACCTCAGCTAATCTGGGGGCTGAGACAAGAGGATTGCTTGAACCCCAGAGGCAGAGGTCACAGTGAGCCGAGATTGCACCACTGCACTCCAGCCTGGGCGACAGAGTAAGAACTGGTCTTGGGAAAAAAAAAAAAATGGAAGACACATTTAGGGACATAAATAAAAACATTATGGGAGGTATTATATTAGATCACAGAATCAGGACTTTGGGGCTCACACGTTGGCCCTGACGTTGCACTCTGCCGTGGACATGGAACTGGCCTGACGGATTCAGCTGTAGTTACAGAAATTCAGAAAGACACAAAGGCTGAAGACAAGTGGGAGATATGGGACTCTCATTTGTGTCAGCTATCTGCAGGTTCTATGAGACGGGAACAGTAATGGTGCTGTGTTTTGCCCTCAGCTTGCTGTCACTGGAGTTTCCTACCTACCTTGTACAAAGCCAATCCGTTATCCCCTGTCTCGCAGCATCAGTCCCGTCCTGCATTCGCCAGGAGTACCAAACAGCTGGAAGACAAGGGCACACTTTTCCTCCCTGGGAAAAAAGTCAGTCCTTTCAAGAAGTGAACATAGAAGGCTGCTGGTCCCCTTTGAGGGGACAGGACCAAAACAAGAAAGACATGTCTTGTCATCTGGTGTCTTGTTGTGTAAACCTCCATTCTATCCCATTTCCGTAAATTCTTTCAAAGGTTTGAGATGTAGGACAATTGGGGCCTTTTCTCAATTTGAGTCTTCTAGTTTGAACATTATAATTTAATGTGATTGTTAAGGAGTAAGAATGAAACAATTCCGATGCTACATAAAATACAGAAATAACGGCAAGTTTCCAGTTTATTTCACAAGCTAACATAACCCTTCTACCAAAACCAGCCACACATGCGCACACAGGCATGCATACACGCACGCACACACGCACACATACACACACACACACTCAAGCTAGAACATGTTAGTCTCACTTAGGCTATTTATATGGAATTTATAAACACACGTCCTAAATGGAATACTAGCAAATTTAATTCATTAGTACAATATATTAAAATAATATTTTATACCCAAGCAGATCCTGTTCCAGAAATGCAAAGATGATCAATATTTTATAAATGATCAATACTATATATAGACCGTGTCTGTTTTGTACACTAGCATGGTCCTTGTGTCTGGCACAGTGCCTGGCACACAGTAGCATGTAAGTATTTGTTGAGTGACTGAATATTACTGTTAATAATCAGTTTGAAAATAGGAAGAAAAAGATCTGATGCAAGTAGAAATTATAGCAAATATACACGTGTTTGTGTGCTATGTATATATACACACATCATATATATTCCATACATATACACATATGTATTCATGTATATATGTATATATGCACATGCATGCACATATACATAAATACGTATATGCATGTGTATATGCATACATGTGTGCATATACACGTGTGCATGTATGTGCATATAAATGTGTGTATGCATACATAGGTGCATATATGTACATATGCATATGTGTGTGCACACATGTGTACGTACATATACATATATACATGTATGCACACATATGTTTATATGTGTGTGTATGCATGCACACACATATTTCACCCAGGAATAAACTTCTAAAAATGTATATAAGATCTGAATGAAGAATAGAGCAAAACTTTGCCAAGGTACATAAAAGAAGATAAATAAATGGGAAACATGTCACATACCCGTGTGAGAAAAGGCAATAATAAAAGATGTCAGTTCTTTTCAAACTAATTAATAAATGAAGTGCAGTGTCCATTAAAATCTCGAAGCAATTTTGGGAGAGACGAGTCAGTAAATTGTTGGGAAAGAAAAGAAATATGAGGGGATTTTGCCTAATTATTAAAATCTGTTATAAAACCACAGTAATTAAAACAGATTTGGCATAGAATAGACAGATCAGTAAAATAAAATTTAAAACCTGGAAGCAGACTCACATATACACCACTATTTTGCATATGATAAAGTTAGAATTTAAAATCAGAGAGGGGAAATATTATGCAAGCAAATCGTGCTGGAATATTGGTCTCTGTTGGGGAAAATTAAGCTGGAGTCCCCACTGCATGCCAATCATCAAGGTAAAGTTCCAAATAGATCAGTTATTTTTTAGAAATACTATAAACAAAATAACGAGAAAATATAGAAAGTGTTTCTATAATCTTGAGTGGTAAAGATTTTTCAAAGCATAATACCTAAAGAAAAATTATAAGAGATGCATAGTAACTTAAATTTGATTTTTTTAAAAATAACAAGGCGAACCACAAACAGGGACAAGATGTTGGCAGTGTAAATGCCTGACAAAAGATTAATAGCCTTAATTTTATTTTTTATTTTTTATTTTTTTGAGATGGAATCTTTTTCCTTTTGCCCAGGCTGGAGTGCAGTGGCATGATCTCAGCTTACTGCAACTTCTGCCTCCTGAGTTCAAGCGATTCTCCTGCCTCGGCCTCCCGAGTAGCTGGGATTACAGGCATGTGCCATCACACCTGGCTAATTTTTGTATTTTTAGTAGAGACTGGGTTTCACCATGTTGGCCAGGCTGGTTTTGAACCCCTGACCTCCGGTGATCCACCTGTCTTGGCCTCCCAAAGTGGTGGGATTATAGGTGTGAGCCACCACACCTGGCCTAATATCCTTAATTTAGAAAACACCCTTGCAAAGCAGAAGGAAAAAGCATACATTCCATTTGGAAAATGGACAAAGGCAATTCACAAAAGAAGAATACGAATAAAAAAAGAAATGTTTCTTTTCTTTTCTTTTCTTTTCTTTTTGAGACAAGGTCTCCCTCTGTTGCCCAGGCTGGAGTATAGTGGCTCCATCTTGGCTCACTGCAAACTCTGCCTCCCAGGCTCAAGCGATTCTCCTGCCTCAGCCGCCCGAGTAGCTGTGATTACAGGTGTGCGCCACCACACCTGGCTAATTTTTGTATTTTTGGTGGAGACGGAGTTTCACCATGTTGGCTAGGCTGGTCTTGAACTCCTGACCTAAATGATCCACCCACCTCAGCCTCCCAAACTGCTGGGATTACAGGCATGAGCCACCACGCCTGGTCGAAAGGTTTACTTTCCATAATAAACCTAGAGATGCAGATAAAATAAGAAAAAAATTAAATACCTTTTAATATCTCCTGGGTTACCAACAATTTACTTTTTTGTGTGTCTTTTTTTTTTTCCTTTTTGTGGAGAATGGGGTCTCGCCATGTTGCCCAGGCAGGTCTTAAACTCCTGGACTCAAAGTAGCCTCCCGCCTCTGCCTCCCTAAGTGCTGGGATTACAGGCGAGAGCCACTGTGCCTGGTCAGATTATCAACACTTTAAATAATGGTAACATAAGCACTGTAAACAAGGACTTCATATATGTAGAAGACAGTCAAGGCTTTAAAAATATGACCTGGAAATACTGTGTGTAGAATTTTTTCTTTTTTTCTTTTGTCTTTTTTTTTCTTTTCAATAACTGGTTTTTGCTTTATTCTGTAGTTCACATAGGACAACCCCAAATTCCACACTTGGTTTTTCTCTTCTGTCTTTGTTATTTTTTCAATATCTATGTCAACAGAGACCGTTTCTCCCAATAGCATATGCAGCCTCATCCAGGACACACAGGCCCTCAAAGATCCTAGCCCTCTAGCACTGCCACCTGGGCCTCCCAAGTGACCACACCCATGCCTGTTTGTGCTGGGGCTCTGCCCTGGTCCTGTCACCCTGAGGTGTCCTTAGGGCAGGAATGCCAAACGGGCTCCATGTGATGTACCAACTCTGGGTAAATACAAGAGGCTGCCTGGAGCCCCGGGCTGAGGGTTGAGACAGTCTGCATCTGGCTTCCAACGCAAAGAATGCCGTGACCCATGAGTGATGCCTGCCTTGACAATACCCATTAGAGGTGCCTGGAAGGGTGTGGCGTTTGGGGGGAATGGGCTCAGAAAGGGACAAGGTGTGTGGCCCATCCTTGCCTTAGGTGGTTGTTCTGCTACCCAGGTTGTGCCGTCCCACTGGCCAGGTGGCTGAGGAGGAAGTCAAGGCCACAAAGTTGCAAGTGGCTTCCCTGTGGCCTGCAGGGAACAGCATAAGCCCCAAGCTGGATGGAGCTTGGAAGGGTGCCCACGCTAGGCCCCGTGGGGGTCTGCACACTGCAGGCCACGCTGGCATTAGCTCCAATCCTTTGGGGTCCGTCTCATCCAGGCAAAGACAGCTGGTTGGCCTCAGAGCGTTATTATAGGTGCCACTAGCAGGTAAAATATTTTTACATGGCCCGGACGCAGAAATGGGCTGTACCTCTGGAGAGACTTTTAGAAACTTTCAATCCAAACCAAAAGGATGTATCTTCTAGGTGTTGCCAAGAAACCTAAACAAAGTAAAAGAACAGGCTTACTTTAATCAAGTTCCAGAATGGGGTGCATGGCTTTGAAAAGCACTTTGTAGCAGAAGATGCAGGGGTGTGTGTAAAGCAAAGTTTCTAGAATACACCAGAGGAAACAGACACGACCCGACTTGGCCTTCGCATCCCCTGGATGCTGCTCTGTCCCAGCGGTGGGTGGTTACAGGGTCCAGCTGACTCTGGGGGTGTCGCGATGCTCCGTGTGTGTGTCCAGGCGTCTGCTGAAGTCTTCCTCTCTCTGCTTGCGGGTCTGGGATGCTTTCTTCAGGATCCTTTCCATTTGTCGCTTCTCCTGCACTTTCTCCTGGGCTGGGGTCAGCCTGTCCAGGTCGCACCACTTCTCCTCCTCATTCTTTTTGCTTGTTCCCATCGCTTCCTGAGTTGTGCCTTGTCTTTGTGCTTCTTTTTCTTCTTCTGCTTGGTCACTCCAAGCTCTGCGATGCCCTTTGGCTTCAGGGGTCCCTTCTGGACCTGCTTGTAGGCCCCCAGGTCACTAGCCTGCAGTTCGGTAGGCAGCAGAATTTTTTCTGGAGAAAAGATCAAGCAACGTATGTGAAGATTTATGTCCAAGGATGTGCATCATAGAATTCCTGAAAAAAAAAAAAAAAAAATATATATATATATATATAGAGAGAGAGAGAGAGAGAGAGAGAGAGAGAGAGAGAGAGGCAGAATCCCACTATGTTGCCCAGGCTGGAGTGCAGGCCCAAACTCCTGGGCTCAAGCAATTCTCTTGCTTCAGCCTCCTAAGTAGCTGAGAGTATAGGTGTGTACTACCATCCCCGGCCAAGTTTTTAATTTTTTTGTAGAGAGATGAGGCCTTACTATGTTAGCCAGGCTGATCTCAAACTCCTGGCCTCAAGCGATCATCCTGCTTTGACCTCCCAAAACTCTGGAATTACAGGCATGAGCCACAGCACCTGTCCCTTAAAATACATTTTTAAATTTTTATGTTTTTTATTACATGTATCTGCTGATTGTTTTTTATTTTTTATTTTTTTTACTTGAAATATTTTTAATGGAAATACTTAAATGTTCTCCAACATGGCGAAACCCCGTCTCTCCTAAAAATGCTAAAATTAGCGGGCATGGTGGCATATGCCTGTAATCCTAACTACTTGGGAGGCTGAGGCATGAGAATCACTTTAACCCTGAAGGCAGAGGTTGCTATGAGTCCAGATTGCACCACTGAGCTCCAGGCCTGGTGACAGAGCAAGACTCTGTCTCAAAACAATGCATACATATATATAAATGCTTGGCAATAGAAGACCACTTTGGTAGGTTATAGTCCATATGTAATCCCAGCACTTTTGGAGGCCAAGGTTGGGAGGATCGCTTGAGCCCAGGAGTTCAAGACCAGCCTGGGCAATATAATGAGATCCCATCTCTACAAAAAATGGAAAATTCGAAAATTAGCAAGGAATGATGGTATGCACTTGTAGTCCCACCTACTCGGGAGGCTGAGGTGGGAGGATCACTGGAGCCCACAAGGTTGAGGCCACAGTGAGCCATGATTGTGCCACTGCACTCCAGCCTGGGTAACATGCCAAGACCTTCTCTCTAAAGAAAAAAAAAAGTGTGTTCTAACTTGGTAAATATTAGAATATTTAAGCTATTAGGCTATGAAGTCAGAGCTGGATTTAAACCCATCTCTTCTTAGCTGTGTATTGTGAAACAATCCGTTTAACCCTCTAAGTCTCAGTTTCCATACCTACCTACTTTATTTATTTATTTTTTTCAGAGGCAAGGTTTGCTCCATTGCCCTTGACGGTTCTCCACCTCAGCATTCTGAGTGGCGGGGACCACCAGCTCGCACCACCTTGCCCAGCTACCTTTTAAAGTTGTGGGATTAAATAAATCCATTTCTATGGTGTGCTTATAAACACAGTGCCTGGCATTCAATAAATATTCACTGCATATATATATATAATGATTGAATACTAAATCTCAAAGTCAGTGATGCTGGCATGCAAAAGACATTTAATAAACATCTTTTAATAAAAAAAATACGATGAATATGATAGGAGATTACACTGAGAAAATTGTGTTTAGGTCAAAAAGAAAATTTGACCATTAAGTAAAGAGACTTTGGTTTTCTATGACTGATTAATGAACTCAGGAGGGAATGCCAAAGGATATCTTTTAAAAGTGTTTTGAACAGTAGCAGCAAACTGAAATAAACATACATAGCCTCACAAGGTGAATTATTTGGAAGACAAAATGCATATAGATGTAATTGTTCTATTAGTATGTATGTTGTTTTCTTTTTTTCTGTCTTTCTTTTTTCTTTTTTTTAGATGGAGTCTCACTCTGTCACCCAGGCTGGAGTGCAATGGCACAATCTCATCTCACTGCAACCTCTGCCTCCTGAGTTCAAGTGATTCTCCTGCCTCAGCCTCCCGAGTAGCTGGGGTTACAAGCACCCACCACCACGCCCAGCTATTTTTTTTATTTTTTTATTTTTAGTAGAGATAGGGTTTCACCAGGTTGGCCAGGCTGGTACCGAACGCCAGACCTCAGGTGATCCACCCGCCTCAGCCTCCCAAAGTGCTGGGATTACAGGTGTGAGCCACCGTGCCCAGCCAAAATGTATGTTGTTTTCTATGTGGTAACTTTATAGCCATTCTGTACGTGGCCCACTTCAAAACAGCCCTGGGAGCAGCCTTTCCTTTATTCAGCAAAGGCTCTCTGAGCCCCTAGGGTGGGCTAAGCACTTCCACGGAGCTGCCGCTGTGGACTGTGCTGGGCTGTGACGGGGGACAGTGATGCCGTCTCACCTACTGTGGACGACTCGGGAGGTTTCTAATGGTCTGGAAACACCCAGGGCAGCCCTGAGCTCAGCTCCCGGAAAAGGAGGCATCTTCGGGCTCTGCCTACTGCATACCCAATTGTGAAGCCTGGGCAGCTACGCTGAGGTTCTGGGCCTCAACTCTTCGTCTACGAAATGAGAGCATTACACAGATGACTTCAGGGTTTTGTTTTTTTTAATCCTGTGACCAGAAAGAAATTCACTGTGACCAAACACACACCCACACACACGAACACACGCACATGGACACAACTGGAAAACTTGCTCACGAATGCCAAGGCCACTCCCACTCCGAAACACATGGGAGATTTTGGTTGTTTTGTCTTTTTTTTTTTTTTTTGAGACAAATTCTTGCTCTGTCACCCAGGCTGGAGTGCAGTGGCTCAATCACAGCTCACTGCAACCTTGATCTCCTAGGTTCAAGAATTCTCCCACCTCAGCCTCCCAAATAGCTGGGACCACAGGCACAGGATGCTATGCTCTCAGCTAACTTTTGATTTCTTTTAAGTAGAGACAAGGTCTTGCCATGTTGCCCAGGCTGCTCTCAAACTCCTGGGCTCAAGTGATGCTCCTGCCTCGGCCTCCCAAAGTGCTGGGATGACAGGGGTGAGCCGCTGCGCCCGGCCTGAAACACCTGTTTTTCTAGTGGAAAAAGGTCTGATGAGGAAGCAAAGGCCCTGGTTGTTGGTGGCTGCCAGGCTTACGGGATCTCAGGCAAATTGCATCACCTCTGTAGGCCCTTTGCTGTAATGTCAGGCTTCTGGCCTAATGATCTCTGAAGTCCCTCCATTGCTAAAATTCTGTTTTATAATCATTCCATTCCATTCAATGGTCCTATATTGAGCACGTGTGCCAGGCACTTTCTAGGCCCAGGGGCTGCAAAGGGGAATGACTCACAGACCCCACCATTGAAGGACCCGCCATCTTACTGAGTGAGCCAGCACGGGACGCACAGAGATGGAGATGGGTATGTGTGGGCTTGTTCCAGAGCTGGACGTGCGTGAAGACCCTTTACTGAGGCCATGATCTCCACCTGGCTCTCATTTGGGCCTACGCCATTTTTGTAGACTTTAAATGGGCAATGAATATACTAGGTATCATCAAACACATATTTCCACCATATTTCCACCCCAACCCTAAGGGATTCGTTTCAAGGGGGAGTGTCTGGTCATCCTACGTGGCCAGACTCTGCATAGGGCAAGCTCTGGCAATAGGGCCAAACAGTGCATGTGACAAAGGACAAATGCAGAATACAAAATATAGCTAACTGCTGTGTTAATTATCTTACTCAAGTCTAAATGTTTTTCAGCCCTCGCTCTCCACCCCTGTGAGTTGTTTGATTTTATCAGTTAAATTTTTAAAAATCGATGTCATGCAAAACATAATTATATTCCTAGTATTCCAATTCCTCATTTCAGATCCATGGCCATATCATTTGGTCACTTTCCATCACAAGATACTGTTTGAATTGTCAGCTCGAAAATTCCCACTGCCCAACAAGGCCAAATGCCAACACGAAAAAAACCCCACAAGCCAATGGAGTTTATTTCTAACGCCAGACACAGCTTTGAAATACAGGTTTAGACAGCATGAGACAGTGAATAATTGCTTCAACAGCATCAGCCCTTTAAGGGCCCAAGGAGTAAACATGATCTTCCATGTGAGTAAAATGCAATGGTTGTGCAGAGAGGAGACGTATGAAAGGTTTACCTTGGGCAGCACCAGTCAATAGCAGACTCTTTCCTTGCTCAAGTGTGAAAGCCCATCTATAAACAGCTTTCACAGCTCTGTGGTGCCAGACAATTGCACCATTGAAAGACAGGACTGGTAAGTGCTCCCCACTTCCAGGGATTATTCTGTGTGTCTCAGTAGAAGTAGGGTGCTTTGTCCTGCTTCCCCTTTGTGTGAGTAAATGTCTTTTTATTCTAGGAGCCCCCATTCCTGCTCTCAGTCTCTTGCTGTTATTGTTTAACCTTATTGGCAGGAGAGAAGCCAGAGGCAGAGGGAGTCAGCCACAAAACCTGCCCATCTCAGTGCCTGGTGGGGTGGCGTTACCTCTCTAGAAGTTGTCCACTGGCCACAGACCCATTCCTCAGAATGAACTCGGGATGTTTGGGATATAGTTTTCCTGGGAAGCAGTAGAGCCATCCGGGAAGGCATTGTGAACCACATGATCCAAAAAGGTTTATTGAGACCCACCACGCGCTGGCGTATTCTAGGCCCTGAGGAAAGAGCTCTGCTTATAGCCAAGTCCCTGGTCTCCTGGAGCTCGCTGTCCCCGAGGCATGATGATAACATGCAGATAAATACCTGGAATGTCAGGTGGCAAGGAGGAAGAAGTGATTGGGGCAGGGAGAGATGCTGTTCTAGACAGGCCGCTCAGGACAGTTCCTCCGATGAGGCCATATTTGAATGAAGAAAGAGATTGAGTCCCACAAATACCTGAGGCAGGAGGGCTTCAGGCAGGAGAAACAGCAATGCAAAGGCCCTGGTTTGGGGTGTGCCTGGCATCTTGAAGGACCTCCAGGTGGCATTTTAAGGAGCTGGTGACAGCAATTCCTCCCAGGGAGCCTCTTCCAGGAGACACTGAGTGAGATGGCAAATGAGAGGCTTTTCTAGTAAAACTGCTAGTGAAGGCCACACATGGTGGCTCATGCCTGTAATCCCAGTACTTTGGGAGGCCAACCAGGAGGATCGCTTCAGCCCAGGAGTTCAAGATTGCAGTGAGCTGTGATCCTACCACCGCACTCCAGCCTGGACAACAGAATGAAACCCTGTCTCCAAAAACAAACACACAAAACAAAACAAACCTGCCAGGGATGATCATTCCATGTGAACAACTTGTTGATCCTGCCCATAATTAGAGCTCGTGTCTTCTAAGCCCTCCCCCAGGCTCTGCTCACATGCGTTTTCTTAGAGGCCAAAGCTGCTGAAATCTAAGCAGCCCCACAGGCAAAGCCACAACAGGATGAAAGGAAGAAATGGGCCCGGCGCGGCGGCTCACGCCTGTAATCCCAGCACTTTGGGAGGCTGAGGCAGGCAGATCACCTGAGGTCGGGAGTTCGAGACCAGCCTGACCAACATGGAGAAACCCCATCTCTATTAAAATACAGAACTAGCCGGGTGTGGTGGCACATGCCTGTAATCCCAGCTAGTCGGGAGGCTGAGGCAGGAGAATCAGGCAGCAAGAGCGAAACTCCGTCTCAAAAATAAATAAATAAAGAAATGTCTGAGCCAGGCACAGCAGTGCGCACCTGTAGTCCCAGCTACTCAGGAAGCTGAGGAGGGAGGATCACTTGAGCCTGGAGTTCAAGGCCAGCCTGGGCAATGTAAAATTTTTTATATATATAGAAAGGTCTGGTCTTTAAAATATTTGTGAAGAAAAATAGGTCTTTGATTGCTTTCTGTGTCGATCACCTACCATCATGAACACTTCATGTATATTAGCTTTTATGTAGATGTGATTATCCTCACTTTACACAGGAGTCACCCGAGCCTTATCCTCACTTTACACAGGAGTCACCCGAGCCTCAAAGAGAGGAGGCAAATGGCTCTAGGCCACATGGTGCTAAGAAGCTGTGAATCGCCCCAGCTACTTCGGGAACTGAAACAGGAGGATTGCTTGAGCCCAGAAGGTTGAGTCTGCAGTGAGCCCAGATCATGCCACTGCACTCCAGCCTGGGGGACGAAGTGAGAGAGAACCTGTCTCAAAAAAAAAAAAAAAAAAAAAAGGTGAATTGAGATTTGAACCCAGGCTGCCTGATTCTGGAGCCTGTATTCTTTCCATGGCAGAGCATCGCCCCTGTGCATCACGATGATGTGCATCCAGTACCACGGAACCGTTGCTAACCCAGCTTACAGAGCCCTGTCTGGGAGCAGACTACCAGCCTTGGTTTGTGGCTGCACGGGGACTCCCCATAGCTGGCAATTTGTTTATACAGAGTGGCTGTCACTTAATTCGGTAAAGCCTACATCTCCATGTCTCTGTTACAAGTTTGGTGGAACCACAAACCTAGGGGGTGGCTCGCTGCCTCACCCTCAGCCCTCTCCATGTCTGAAATGCCACGGTGGGCGCTCAGACAGTGAGACCGAGGTGGGGCTCCCCAGCTTTCAGAGATACCCCCATGTGCTTTCACCATCAACCAACGCTTTCTCTCCAGAGGCTTCACTTCTCCACTAGCGCTGGAGGTGTAGCTCTCACACCTGAAACGACACACAGAGGTTATCACTTTCCTTTCCCCAAAAAGACTCCTGGTACATGGAATCATGGAACGTAAGGGTCAAAATGGACGTGAAGTTCTTTGAGCCCAGTCGTCTTCCGATGGTTCCCTCACTACTCCATCTTTCTGCCAAGAGCCATCCTGTTCGAGCCTGAACACTCCAGTTTCCAGGGAACACACCGGCTCCCACCAGCTATTCTTTCTGCTATTTCATCTGGGCAGCTCCGAGCAGCTTCTCTGCCCTGTGCCAAAGTCTGTCTTCCCTTCGCCTCTACTCTGTGAGAGTCGTGTGAGTACAGTGGGAGGCTGCATAGCACACCTCGAATACCTTCTGTGTGGAAGCCAAACAATTGCTTTATAATTCTATTAATATAGCCTGCAGTCACAGCTTTTTTTTTTTTTTTTTTAAATGGAGTCTTGCTCTGTTGCCCAGACTGGAGTACAGTGATGCCATCTTGGCTCACTGCAACCTCCACCTCCTAGGTTCAAGTGATTCTCCTGCCTTGGCCTCCTGAGTAGCTGGGATTACAGGCACGTGCCACCACACCTGGCTAATTTTTGTATTTTTAGTAGAGATGGGGTTTCACCATGTTGGCCAGGCTGGCCTCAAACTCCTGACTTCATGTGTCTGCCCGCCTCAGCCTCCCAAAGTGCCAATCACAGCTTTTTTTTGATACTCATATAACACTGTTGATTCATATTGAGATTTTCATCAACCAAAACTTAAGAGTTTGTTTCCTTTTCTTTTTTTTTTTTGGTGTCACATTAGTATTAAGCCGTACCCCTGTGTCCACACTATTATAGTGTGGTGATTTCATGGACCATTACAAGATTTCACATTATTCCTATTAAACTTCCACTAGATGCTCATCAGTTGACTGGATCTTCCTAGATCTTGTTGCTGTGATCCATCTGCTTTATCCCTCCCACCTTCACTTTACCTGTGAGTAGTCAGGGAAGCATGTGTTTTACTTTATTTTTGTTTCGAGACAGAGGCTCGCTCTGTCACCCAGGTGGAGTGCAATGGTGCAATCTCAGCTCACTGCAACCTCCATCTCCAGGCTCAAGCAATTCTCCCACCACAGCCTCCCAAGTAGCTGGGATTACAGGCACCCGGAACCACGCCTGGCTAATTTTTATAGTTTTAGTAGAGATAAGGGTTTCACTATTTTGGCCAGGCTGGTCTCGAACTTCTGACCTCAGGTGATCCGCCCACTTTGGCCTCCCAAAGTGCTGGGATTACAGGTGTGAGCCACCACGCCCAGCCAGGGAAGCAGGTGTTGATGGGGTCTCAAAAATCAAATACCTGTAGAAACCATGGAAGTAACGTAAGTAGACCCCCAGGGCTGGGTGGACAAGCCCGAGGGCTTCTCCAGCACCCTCTGGACACAGTCCTCCAACCCCTTACTAAACCACCTCCCCGGGTTGACCTCCAGCCTCTCACTGCCCATCCTGCCCAGATACACTGGGGAGTGCTTTCTAGAGGAAGTGCTACATCTCAGAAAGGGCTATAGTGGAGGGGAACAGAGCTCAGGCTCTGGAGTCAGACAGTGCTGGGTTCTCTCTTTTCCATTCCCTGGCTGTGTGACATTGCACAAGTGCATTTACTTCTCTGTTTTCTGGTTTTTCTCATCTGTAAAATGGGGAAAACAATAATGTCTACTTCATAGGGTTAATGTAAGTATTTTACAAAATCATTCATGTAGTGTGTTTAGCTCAGGGCCTAGCACATAGGGATTACTTAATACAATTCACCTATACTGATGGTTTTTGTGGTTACTATTACATTGCTACAGTGATTATTAGGAATCACACTGTTATCTCTGACATCTACAGATGGTGGCAGCAGGACAATGGAAACAGCCCAGTGAGTACAAAAGATGTGCTCCTGAACACACACCCCACCCTCTTCCTTCATTCACGCCCCCCGGCCTGATATCGTCAGCACATCGCTGCGATCCTCTTGGAGAACACTCCTCCCGCGCTGAGAGTGGAAACACCAGCCTGCCTTCGCGTGACATGGAGCGTGTCATGCCACTCCTCTCCTCAAAAACGTTCAGTGAAGGCCGGGCGCGGTGGCTCAAGCCTGTAATCCCAGCACTTTGGGAGGCCGAGACGGGCGGATCACGAGGTCAGGAGATCGAGACCATCCTGGCTAACACGGTGAAACCCCGTCTCTACTAAAAAATACAAAAAAAACTAGCTGGGCGAGGTGGCGGGCGCCTGTAGTCCCAGCTACTCGGGAGGCTGAGGCAGGAGAATGGCGTAAACCCGGGAGGCGGAGCTTGCAGTGAGCTGAGATCCGGCCACTGCACCCCAGCCTGGGCCACAGAGCGAGACTCCGCCTCAAAAAAACAAACAAACAAAAAAACAAAAAACAACAAAAATAAAACGTTCAGTGAGGTCCCTTGTATCTTACAGAACGAAGTCCAAACTCTCTCCTGTCATTGAAGAGTCCTCTCCCAGGTGGCCGTGCCACATCTCCAGCTTGTCTCTCAGGAGACCCTCTCCAGGGCCCTGCCTGTCCGCACATAGGACTCACCATTCCCTGGGCCAGCCTGGGCCCTTCCCCACCCATCCCGTGCTTTGATTCCCCAGGGGAGGCGCCCTTGCCGGACTGTTCACTGACTAAATCCCACTCATCCTGCACAACCTGGCGAAATTCAAGGCCACTGGAGGAGCTCTTCCTTTGAGACTCTCCAGCAGGACTTGCCGCCTCTGCGTGGGGCATGTAGCAAGCGCTGCCTGCCATTGCCACTCTGTTGCTGCAGAATGAGTGGGACTTGGTCTCTTTCGTGACTTCCCCAACACACACCCACCCCACCCCCACCGCATAGCACAAGGCTGAGAACACTGGGAACGCTCAATAAAGAAATATTTTTGGCCTGAATGAATGGCCTGAAGGACTGCTCCTTTCAACAATTATGGCCCAATAAATTATACTGACATTGCCTCCTGGAGGGAAAGGCCACACCAAGGCCCCCACAGATGGGGAAACTGCTCTGTCTGCCAAAACCCAGATGCAAGACAGCCTTGGCCCTGCTTGGCCGTCTACCTGAATCTGGGTTTAACAACTTGGCCTGCAGTTTTACAGCCTGAATCACCAGGCTCAGCACAACAGCGTGAGTTCTCTGTCCGCACGCTGCTGCCAGGTGTTGAAGGAACGGGCTACAGTGACTTACCCGGCTCAAGGAGACCTGCAGGCGGGGGAGAGGAGTGCCTGCACCCCAGGCTGGGAGGCCAGGGGACTTGTCTGCAAAAGAAGCCCTTGTCTGGACCCTAAACAGAAAAAAAAGAGGTGATGAAAGTTTATAGCATGAGGATCCGGTGCTGGGTGCTGCAGGGGGATGCAGGCCGGCTTGGAGGTTGGGGGTAGGGGCTGTGGAACATAGAGTGACCTTCAGGGTCATGATTCAACTGAACAAAGCTTAGAGGGCCTAGATTCAGTCAGATTTTATTTCTATAGCTGTAAGAGTTGTGTGGTCCTAGGAAGCATGCAGGAAGCCATCAAATTTAAGCTTTTAGAGCTGGGGTTACATATCTTAAGAGCCAAAGAAATGCAGTATCCAAACAAGTGATATAAGGCGTGAAGACTCGTGTGAGGAGAGGCTGGAAGGGTCTCTGACTGTATGAGCGTTCCCTTCTTGGGTTATGAAGTCACTGGTGCAGCATCTATAATAGAGTTCATGGCAATGGCGTGCTGGTTATGGTTTAACCACCAGTTCTTCCAAGAAAAAGCCCTGTCTTGCGGCATGTGCACATTTCTGTGGTGTAAATACACCCACCATGGCCAATTTCAAACTACTCAGAAGGTAGGCCCAGAGCGTAGAGCTGGGAAGAGATAGCACAGCCAGCTCTTGTGAGCCTGGGCAAGCCAGCTCCCGTACACGCTGATTCCCAGCAGCCTGTCAGCGTCACCAGCAAGAATCCTACCAGTAGCCCACTTCTTTGGTAGTTTTGCAACCTCAAGCAGTGCAAGTCAATGAGGCAACCTCAAAGATAATATGAGACAATAACCCCAAAAATTGTGTGAGATAATATAATAATTCCCTTACTGGGTAAGCATTTTTCAAACTTGCTACTATTTATTTTATTTTTTATTTTTATGTTTTATAGAGAACAGGTCTCACTACGTTATCCAAGCTGGTCTCAGACTCCTGGGCTTAAACAATCCTCCTGCCTCAGCCTCCCACAGTGTTGGGATTACAGGCATAAGCCACCATGCCCTATTTATTTATTTATTTTAATTTTTTGAGACAGGGTCTTGCTCTGTCCCAGGCTGGAGTGCAGTGGTGCAGTCATAGCTCACTGCAGCCTCAAACTCCTGGGCTCAAGGGTTTCTACCTCATCAGCCTCCCAGGAAGCAGGGATTACAGGCTCATGCCAACATGCCCAGCTAGCGTTTTATTTTTTGTAGAGATGTAATCTTACTATGTTGATCAGGCTGGTCTTGAACTCCTGGCCTCAATCAATCCTCTCGCCTCAGCCTCTCCGAGTACTGAGATTATAGGCATGAATCACTGCGCCCGACCCACACTGCTTTTGCAGATATTCACCAACATGCACAGAGTGGCAAAAAATTTGAGTCAACCAACAAGCACATTTCCAGCAGAGGCTGAACAAGGCAACACTCTGACTTCCTGTTTCGGCTGTCATTTGATGAAGAAATGTCCTTTTCACAGTCAATTTAGTGCCAGGTTTTTCATATTTTTGTCCTTTTTCTTGGTGATCGTGCTGTTTAAAATGGTCCCCACACGCACAGCTGAAGTGCTGTCTAGTGATCTTAAGTGCAGAAAGACTGTGATGTACCTTCTGGAGAAAATTCATGTGTTAGATGAACTTTGTTTGGCAAGAGCTATAGTGCGGTTGACTTAATTCAATGTTAATGAATCCACAATATTTATTCAAAGGCATCTTTAAACAGAAATACACAGCTGGGAGCAATGGCTTATGCCGGTAATGCCAGCACTTTAGGAGGCCAAGGCAAGAGGATTACTTGAGCCCAGGAGTTTGGGACCAGCCTGGGCAACATAAAGACCCCATCACTACAAAAAAATAAAATAAAAAATTAGCTGAGTATGGTGGTGCACACCTGTGGTCCCAGTGACTCAGGAGGCTGAGGTGGGAGAATCATTTGAGGTGGGCGGTTGAGGTGGCAGTGGAACATAATTGTGCCACCACTGCATTCTAGCCTGGGCAGAGCAAGACCCCGCTTCTCCAAAAATAAAACACAAAGTAAAACAAAACCAAAAAAATCATAAATACACATAAAATAATGTTATATATTAATCAGTTGACAAAACTCTTGTGACCAGAGGCTCTCGGGAAACTAGCCCTGTATCTCCCCTAGGCGCAATGGTTCAGTATTCACTAATTCAGTGTCCATGGTGACCTTATCAAATGCAGTTGCTATGAGTAATGGAAATCTATTGTATCTGCAGAAGGGGAGTGAGGAACTGCCACGGCCCAGCTCAGAGTGTCAGGTCCCAAGCTGGGTAAAGAGCGGAGGACGGAATCCATGCAGCAGTGGTTCAGAGTACGGAGTCAGAGTGCACACAGGGAAAAGCCAGTGGCAGCCCAGGTGGGAGATTCATCACAGGCATAGGTGGTGATGAAATAAGTAGTAAACATGGCCCAGCACGGTGGCTCACGCCTGTAACTCCAGCACTTTGGGAAGTCAAGGCTGGCGGATCACCTGAGGTCAGGAGTTCGAGACCAGCCTGGCCAACATGGTGAAACCCCATCTCTACTAAAAATACAAAAATTAGCTGGGCATGGTGGGGTGTGCCTGTAATCCCAGCTACTCAGGAGGCTAAGGCAGGAGAATCGCTTGAACCCGGGAGGCAGAGGTTGTGGTAAGCCGAGATCATGCCATTGCACTCTAGCCTGGGCAACAATGGCAAAACTCCATCCCCTGCAAAGAAAAGAAAAAAGAAAAGGAAAGAAAAAAAGAAATAAGTAAACATATTGAGGGCAATGGAAGCCAGGGTGCTCTCTGTTTCTGTCACTCCAACAACAATAGGCCCTGGTAGAGCACAGGTCTTGGCTTTAAATACTATTTTCCACAGCTCCTTGGAGAAATTGATGCTTCCAGGGTTAAGGCAGGCAAAGTGCAATATAAACCTGAAATATCTTATTTTTCCAGAAAGCACACAATTACTAAAAAAGAAAAAATTATGGGGGCATGTCAAAAGGAACAATCTAAGCTGGGTTTGGTGGCTCACACCTGTAATCCCAGCACTTTGAGAGGCCGAGGCAGGTAAATCACTTGAGGTCAGGAGTTGAAGACCAGCCTGGCCAACATGGTCTCTACTGAAAATACAAAAACTAGCCGGGCTTAGTGGCATGCATCTGTAATCCCAGCTACTCAGGAAGCTGAAGCACAAGAATCGCTGGAACCGGGAGGCGGAGGTTGCAGTGAGCCGAGATCATGTCAGCGCACTTCACCCGATCAGAGAGCAAGACTTCGTCTCAGAAAAAAAGGAACAAACCAGCTTGATGAGAGACAATATGAGATTCAAAATAATGATAGTAGCAGATTATAACTCAAACATAGATTAATTAATTAATTGAAAGTTTCATTCAAATTTTTAGTAAAAATGGGATATTTGCATGACTTCAAAATACATCTTTGCAAAATACTGATTAGTTACAAAGAGAATAAAAAGCTAAGTTTACAGCAGAAAGAACTGACAGACACCATCTTAAATGATCTAAGTCAACATCATTAATAATGAGAAAAACTGAAATCATGCACCAGTTGATAAGATGTAATAAAGAATACAGCATCATTTCTGTCATTTTTCTGCCCGATGAATAACCTGAATCTGATCATGAGGATCAGACACACCCAAAGCGAGAAATATTCTGCAAAATAATTGGCCTGTAACTTTCAAAAATATCAAGGACAAGAGGCTGAGGAACTATTCCAGACTGAAAGAGAAGGGAGAGACGTGACAACTAAATGCTACACAGGATTCTGAGCTGGACCTGCCTGCTATACAGGGCGTTGTTAGGACTACTGGTAAAACTTGGATGTGGTATTAGGATCTAATGATAGTAACATATCATGTTAATCTCCTGATTTTAATGGTTGTGTTGTGGTTATACAGGAGAATGTCCTTGTTTCCAGGAAAACACACACTATATATTCACAGGTGATGGAGTATTAGGTAAGCAATCCTCTCAAATGGTTCAGATAAAAAGTTCTTTCTAGGTTGGGCGTGGTGGCTCACACCTGTAATCCCAGCATTTTGGGAGGCCAAGGTGGGAGGATCACTTGAATCCAGGAGTCCGAGACCAGCCCAGGCAACATGGTGAAACCCCCATCTCTACTAAAAATACAAAAATGAGCTGGGTGTGATGGCGGGCACCTGTAATCCTAGCTACTCAGGAGGCTGAGGCAGGAGAATTGCTTGAACTCGGGAAGTGGAGGCTGCAATGGGCCAAGATGCACCGCCCAAAGTGAGATTCTGTCTCAAAAAAAAAAAGTTATTTGTACTGTACTTTCAACTTTTCTATGAGTTTGTGTTTTTATCAAAAACATGTCACCAAGTAATTGATTTGTGGTTTTTAAGTAAAAACCTTACTAAATTTATATACAGTAGTGAAACATTTCAGGGAAATTAGGTTCACCACACTGCTATATGTTTAATTTATTGGATTTATAAAAATTAGGTACTTGGGAGCATTTGTCAGTTAGACAACTGAAGTTTGTCCTTTTATTTTATTTTTTTTAGGACAGAGTCTTGC